TGCCTCTAGACCTGCTACAGACCCAGACAGGACTGTGGCCCCTCCAGCTCGGCTCATGATCAATGAACTGATGATCTTTCTACAAGAGGGAGAGATCGGTGAGCCATAATTACTGTTTCATAATTATATGCCAACATTTTCGATGAATAGTTCTTACTTCTGGGAGTCGTGTAAGATGGAAGCAGAATTAGAAGCGGCAGGGTTGTGCTTGGCGTAGTTGAGCCACCCGCGAGTGTCGTACTCCACCCAGTCTGTACCATGACTGTGACCCAGGAGGAAGTGGAGCTCCTTCTCACTCTTCAGGAGGAACGTGTGACCTAATGGACATATATGGAACACAGACATGAAAAACTCCTATACGCATTTGGGGACAAGCCCTTGATATATATAAAAACAACTGAGAATTACACATCTCTGCTGCAAATGTCAAAAACTATAGTCAAGTAAATGTGTAAGACTCAAGATTAATCTATTATGTCATGGAGGAAATTTGTCTTTGACTTCACAGGTTGCTACATTTAAAACACTCATACTAATAATAATAATAATGCAATGGCTTTATATAGCGCTTTTCAGGACACTCAAAGACGCTTCACATGTGATTATTATTATTATTATTATTAAACATTATTACAGGCACGAGGTACAGATAAGAAAGACATCACACAAAAACAAAACAAAAAAATAAGAATAAAAATACGCATACATATTTACAGCAGACTACTGTACCAGTGACGCCACAGATCAGACTGATAGCGTGTGGCTCTGATTCTGATATTGGTCAGGCTCATTATGATCACGTTCTGACATTGATTCAGTTGACAAATAAATCTGTACATCAGGTTCTTAGGACAGCACCGAGGCCTTTTCAACAGAATTCTTATGCAGTTATTGTACGCCACATTTAGCTTCCGTATGCTCGGAAATTAGCTCGGAATTAAATTATTATTTCACTCCAAACACGGTGGTGATAAACAAACTGCCCTGGGGCACACTGTCCACCACTACCCATTTACACACACAACAGACTCATTCTATGCAATGTGGGTTAAGTGTCTTGCCTAAGGACATAATGGCACTTTCCAGCCACAGCCGCCCCACTGTGGCACGTGGTGTTCCCAGAGGTCTCCCCTCACAGTATTAAGCAGGCCCTGCCCTGAACAGCTTCAGAGGTCTGACGGGATCTTTTGCATACAAGTATAAGACATAAGACAGACATGGAACACAATACAGTAACACAGAAGTAAACCAGTTCTTTTACCAGTTGAGGTATATTCGGATTGGAGGAGCTAATTCTGAGAGTGAAGAGCATGAGAGGGGTTTGAGGGGATTTTCTTGGCTTATCTAGTAACAGCTTCCTAACTCCCATGAACTTAAGTGCACATGTCTATGGAAGGTAATAAAAACAGATGTAATATGGAAATTCACCTTTGCTCTCCCCCTCCGCTGGGCCGTAGTAGCTGAACAAGCGTCCCAGAAGAGTCTGCTCTGATCCCCCTGGTTGTAGTGCCTCTTCCTCCATCAGCCACAACAAGCCTCTGGCCTCATCTGTGCGACTAGTCCGCACCTGCTCAAAACAGAACACACATTTGTTATTGAGAATTGAATTTGATTGGATTATGATTTTACAACAAAATTACAGTGTGTGCCTGACTAACAACAAAACCATTTTACTGGTAGTTACAGTGGTTCTATGTTTGCTGAGAACAAAGAAAATTCTACCTGTGTACATATAAAACATGCCAACATGGAAAAATAAACTATAGGGCATTTCTGATAAGGCTTTGTTTCAAAGATCCCCCAAATCAGGAATATGCCCTCTTTATTTGATCCATTCTTCAACACCACTGGGCAACCGGAGTGCCCGGAGGAAACCCGCCCAGCAAAAAACATGCAGAAGACTATGCAAGCGAATCGAACCTACAACTACCACTACTCGCTCTGTGTTTCCAGAGTCATAACCTTTCAGAATTGGTGACATTTTTGTACATTTATGAAAATGTTTGCAAGTAGAAATAAATAAAGTTACTGTGACCTTAAATTTTCCTTTTGACCGCACAGTACCATGATTTCCATTACCTCTGGGTCTGTTTGCGATATCAAATTCAACTGAAATCTTGCGACGCGTTAGGCAATATTTTGAATGACAAACTCCGGCAGATATCAGGGGTGTTTGGCAATGGGATTATTGTTTTGTAAAGGACTTCAGCGCTCTCCCAGGGAAAGTATTTGTGTTTCCATCCACCTGGGGAGTAGAGCCAGACTCACAGAACCACATAATGTTCCGGTATCTTTCAGCCCATGACACCGGAGACATCCTTATCGGCAGCACACACTACACTGACGGCCGCATATCGGTTTAGAGGAGACATATGACAACTCGGAGGCCTGCAATGAATTGAGTATTAGGGCTGCGTGTGATAACAAACATCCAAGCTACAACAGGAAGAAAATGTATCTCAAAGTAAAAAACGAACATAGTTTGATCAGGATCTTATTTGTTTGGGTAGCTGCAAGGATTTATTATACATTCATTGTACATTATTCTTAGGATTTTTAAACAATTTTTAATTATTAGTATTTTATCAAATGTCAGGTAAAGCAAATATGGACACTTTTATTAAGAGTCAGAATGCAATTTCTTCAAAGTGCATTGTCTTTGGTGTACAGGACATTAAAGTATCTGAATATCTATCAACACATGCCCTAATATGTATGCAGAATACAGATGTTTAAGCAATGTAAATTCATCTTAAAATTATATCCATAAATGTATATTTTCTAAAAGAAATTCTATTTATTCCCAGATCAGTTTTGACAGACTTCAATCGCACAAAACGTCTATAACAGACAGATCCATCATTTAAAATTCTAACATAGACAACTTCATATTTTTACAATACACTGTACTTTTTGTGCCTTGACACACAAAAAAACACTTTATAATTGGCTTCAAATGGAGGGCTCTCAAAACCACTGTAACTCTAACAAGCTGCTCCATGACTCTTCAGACCCAACCATTTCTGTTTCCATGGCACAGATCAGAGGCGGCAAAGGCCAAACATTGATTTTTTTTCTTTGAGTCAATTCTCCAACCTTTCTTCTTCAGTCTTTCAATATTTAACATGCTGAAAAAAAGTCATAATCTACAGCAAAATAATGGCTTCCTTAGTTATTTTAAAGGTGGTATGTCACACTACTACTACCAAATATTACAGGAAGAGAGACATTTCAAAATCATGATCTCACCAACGCTTGGCTCGAGGCTTGATCCACTACTGCCACAGACAAGGAGGTGCTGAGTTCTGTGTCATCTAAGGCCAGCTCGATGTTCTCCTGCAGGAAACAGACAGGTCAGCGAGACAATAGTAACACACTGGAGTGCAGACAGGAGGGGCATACTGTTCCTTCAATATCATAAAAACTGTCACTCCATGCATACACTTCTTATGTGTGAAAAACAAGTATAGATGAAAGAAAGATGCGTATGAAGAAAAGAAGCTGCAGAAAGGGATTTGTCATTTCAGAATTGTCATTTTATCATAACAATGCGTATGAAATAATAAAATGTTCTTAACTAAAGTTCTACCCATTTGAGCTACTTTCTTATGTCAAGTTATGTGAACACAGCCTAGAGGTGCATGTATTTTTGTTTTGTTAGGGCGCCCCCTGGGGTGAAGGAACGGATTTTGGACACAGCTCTATCTCCAGCGCTAATGACGTAGCACTCATTCCTGCTTCCCGGTGCGTTTATGTGAACAGTAAAGAGCCAACACGAGGAGGAGCCAGGAAATACACAGGACTTGTTCATATGTGATGAGGGCTATTGTCAGAGTGGAGTTTATGAACTCGTTATTTTGACTCCATTAAGTTTTAGGAGTGGTTGGACGCACGTTTATTGCCAAAATAGATGGGATTTACCAGAGTGCTTTGATTATCACGAGTTAGCAGTGCGTTAAAAACCTTGTCATTATACTCATGTTGTGTCCAGTTAAAACAGTCATCAATGAACTAATTGTGGTAAGTGTTCCATTACAACCATAAAACCTTATGTTCAAGTGCGGCCTATATGTGGAAAATAAAATACTGTTTTTTTAAATGTTACTTGTCCGGTTTATAAACAAGTGCTCTTAATAGTCCATAACGAACTGGACTAAGTGCCTTTGTCAGCATGTGTGTATCTGTGCACTTCAATAGGAATGAGGGAACAATAACATTTTAGATCATTGTGGTATATAATGTATTAATAATTTTGTAGAATTTGTCTGTAGTTCCTCTCTCTCAAAACAGTTCAGTTCTATCACTACTTTTCACATTCGTCATTACGTCATATAATGGAATATTATTATATGTGTGCAATATGTGAAATGTTTACTAATGAGATAAAGATGGCATGATGTGGACTGATTTGTTCACAACATTTTACTTTAACAAAACTCTGTGTTGGGACAGTAACAATGGTTGAAATTATGCATTATTATTATTATTATTATTATTATAATGACAGATAAAACCTGTTTTGTGGTCATTTTAAATTCCACATGTCAGCAAAAAATGCTGTTTTTGCATCTGCCTGAAAAGAAATAATACATGCATTCTCCGCTGTAGATGTAAATTGAAACAACCCATAGGGCAAAGCAATCCTTTTATAATCAGAAAATATATGACATTCGTTAAGGTGGCTGTCTCTATGGAAAAGTGGACATTTCATTACTGTAGCAGACAATAACATTTCAGGGGTGAAGTGGAATTGAATGTACTAAATTACTTTCAGCCGATCAAAATGTCCGAGCAGAAGATTACAGTGACAAAAATGGAAAATGAAATGGAAATGTGGGAAAACGTAGGTGATGCTAATAGCACAGCCATGACAGATGCCAGTGTTCAAGTAGACGGTGCATGTGAAACAGCTTAAATGATTTCTCTACGCGTCGATGCGGCGTGAAAGCCTCAAAAAAATACTGTTATTCTTTCCACACAGCTGAAGCAATGAAAATTCAAAAATATATGCCTGTTTGGTGCATCACAGTTTAACCTGTCTGTCACTTCCATTGTTGATATTGTGCACAGTTACAAATTAGTTTGACCCAGTTTCCAACGACGGATTCACATTTCCTTGTATTTCTCTTGTCAGTTACAAAAGATATTTTAACTGACAAGAGAAAATTACCCTCTGCCATATTTATGCAGTGCTTTATTTTGCTTCAGTTCAGTACCTGCGTTTCTCAAATGGCTGTGGGAGGAAAATGTAGGAGGGAAATCCTTAGTTCTCAAATTCAAAAAAATAAAAGTAATATGATCAAGACCTCTTGTTAACTATTGATTTTGTGATAGTTTTTAAGAGAAAAATGTATTCAAAGAACAGTATTGATGAGGGGATAAAGTTCATATTTTCCTCCAAATATTGTAAATTCCCAAGGACGACGACACAGCGTTTGGTGCGTATAGAAAGATTTTACGGAAGGACAGAGAAGAATAGTTCGTTTATCAGGGGAACAGCTCTAGAGCTGTGCAGCTGGGCGTGTCTCCCAAAGGCGCCTGAGAACGATTTCTCTTTGATCTCAGCAGAAGAGGTGAAGGCTGGCATGACTAATGAGGAAGACCAACACATGAAGCACTTTGCCTTGTCACAGTGTGTGGCAGGTGGGAGGGCCTGTGTGTCTGATGTCCAATCTCATCCACTAAAGAAGCTGATATTTTTGAAAGCAAGCAGGCAACAAAAGAAGTGTGTGTCAATAAAAACTAGGATACTTTACATATTGTGTGCAACATCATCCTCAAGATTATCCTCAAGATCTGATAGGTCACTTGCCTCCTTGTATCTCTCCAGTTCTTGCACAAAGGTTCGCTGATAGAACAATGTTTGCAGTCGTTCCTGGGTGTAGTTGTGGCACAAATCTTCAAAAGTGGCTCCACACTCTCGCTTGGCCAGGCGAGGGTTCTGCAGGCCCGGAGTGTCCACAATGAGCAAGGAGCACAGCGAGTGTTGGTTGGACTTTAAAGCTCTGTAGCACAATGAACACATTCACATGTTCATTTTCACAGATAAAAGTATAAACTGTTTCCATATGCATAATACAATTCTAGTAGCTAAATATACAAGTAGAACTGAGAGCTGCACTTACCGGTTTATCATTGAAATGAGGATCGAAAACAGCTCAGAGTAGAGCCCTGATGCCATGGCCTCCAAACACTCCATAGCAGTAGCTTTAGACCCTGATAAGAAAAAGCCAAAGAAAAAAGGACGTTCATAAGAATAATGCTCAACTTTATATAAATCTGGAAAGATTACAAAGTTGCAAAAGCAAAGCTAAAATGAAAGCTTTTAAAATGTGAATGTTATTGTATTCAAACACATTTCTTAAAACATCCAAAGCTTGGAAATTGACTGCAAAGTGGAGTCATTGTTGGACTGACATCATCTCTGAGTCCACATGTGCGAAATTATACAAAGTAAGGGCCCATGTGTCACTATCTAAGAGTAACATTAGAGTGTATTAGGAAGAAATTCAATGGAAATCACAGTTTTAGGTAAGAGCTTTTCAGATTGAAAGTTTGAATTGTGTTCTTAATGTCCTTCAAAGTCTTCAGAGTAGCTGCCAAAATACCTGTGACATTTCAAAGTGAGAAAGTTATGGTACAAGGCCAATAGAGAAAGAGTGTATCAAAAATACAAAATGTCTATCTGTCAATAGACATCTTAAGGCTGTGGTATTCTTTATAATATAATATACTGTACATAAGATTTGTTGTATGGGGTATTTTGTGTGTCTGCGACAGTGTGTTTGTGCTCTACCTGCTTCCCCACCTCCGTTCTCTTCTGGGACCTGGCGTGCGGTGCTGGATCTGGGCAGGGTGCCCTTGGCCTGGTGCTTGAAGATGGAAGAGGAGAGTTCCTCCAGGGTGCAGCCCAGCAGGTAGGCCGCCTTCTGGGCCCACTCATGACGTGCAAATTGTTTCCTGCCAGCTGAGACACATGCATGAAAACCTCCATTAGCCGTTCTGCCAAGCACCCCAGGCACAAGGCTAGCCTGGTAGCTGTCTGACATCCACTGTCTGGCAGGCTAGGATTATGTCTGTGGTCAAGCTGACACTCACGCAGCTGGAAGGAACAGGCACTAAAAGCATTCTCCTGTAATGTAGCCTCAAATCTGTGTCCAAGACACGATATACAGAACATATCCATACAGCAATGGCGTCAACTTTCTAACAACTAAGCCTTTGCGAGTCATTGTTTGACTCTTTGGACTGAGTGCTGATTGGCTGAGTAAGTCTGGGCATCACTTATTCGATTTTCTGTTTGAAAAATCTTAAAATGTGACAGACAACACAAATATATATCTATATATATTTGTGTTACATTGTTCAATTTTTTGCTATTTGAAAGTAAGGTACCCCACCTTTAAATTCATGAATTGTAATTGTGGGATCACATATTAACAAATAAGATTCATCCTTTGTCTTAAAATAAAATAAAGCACTATAATAAATGCATTATAGTGCATGTTTTTAAACGTTGCTCATTCCTATTTGCTTTGGCAGTTGGGAAAATGCAATGGAAAATACAATAGAATTATAATCTAATATGTGCACACAGGTAAATTGAGCATGAATTGAAGTGCATTAATGAATGCACTTATAACTGAATTGTATTCTAAAACAGTAAATGTTTTGGACAGACTTAACCTTTGAGGTCAAAAACAAAAAGAAGCCTGGGGTTCGTTGCGTGGGAGATAGCTGCTGCCCTCTAGTGTTCCACCATTAAGCTGCATCTTAATACCAAATCTTTTCTCAGAGAAGATTAGGGCTAAACCATGGATCTATAATAATATCAGGGCTAAACTAAATGTGCACTTGTCTGGTGGTAGCTGCACAGTGTTTACTTTCAGCAGGTGTCATGTGATAAACACAAGGACACCAGAAGTCTTAGGATAAAGAACACTGTTTCAGTCTTTACAAAAACAACTTGGATTTTTAAAAAATTCATTCCACAACTTTGACCAGATGATTGACCACAGCGATACAAAGAATAGGCAGGCAGGATATTCAGACGATATTTTAAAAAAATGGTGTGCAAATTTTGGATCATTGGAAAAGAAAGACTGCAAAGGGCTCTAAACGTCCTGATGGTTTTAGAAGTTATTGAATTTAATATATCTAATTAAATGTAAAATAACATTTAAATAGATATATTTCCTCACAAATTAATTGCTTTAGTTGTGCATTTATACAGCAATAACTAGACATATTACAATTGCATAAAATTACCACTGTATTACTATTATCTTTTCTTCATGTTCAGAACACAAAATAGGTACGCTTATACCATACAACCATGCATGTAACTCTTGTGTGGAAGACTTTACAAGACTGCAAGCCTGAGGACATTGTTAAAATGTGCAGTTGCATTATTCAGTTCATGTGGATTACAGCTGCCTTGCATCACTCACCTCAACTTACCAACAATAATGATTGAAGCATTAAAAACACACACAAAAATACCAGCACCATTCCACGAGTGATGACATTTGACATTTTTTCCGCCTATGTCTAATCATAATACTTGCCTTTGGTTGCTCCAGCTGATCCAAGGTGGTAGATGGCACCAAGAACAAGCCAGAAGGCCCTCTGCTCGTCTGGAGTTATGCCTAAAACCTTCATGGCCGCTTGAAGCTTGGAGAATTGCTGAGTTGCACGCTGCTTGTCGTCCGCCTGCCAGAGAACACATATTTTAAAAAAACACCAACATGAACCAAAGCAAAACATATAATATTCACCAGAAAGCTTACCTTTGTTTGAGGCATCATTCCAAAACCATTGTTCTCGGAAAAATGATTCAAATGTAACTCCGTTCTAGGGTGAATATATCATCATCACAAAATATCATCATCATAAAAATATCATAATACAATAAACATCCAAAAACCAGCATGAAGTTTGGCTCATGAGACAAAGATTAAAGCTGGGGTTTTTTGTTTCATAAATAATACATTTAGTTTGGCTCAACACAAAGAGAAAGTATAATTTAGTCAACTTTTCCACCAGCTATTTCACAAAATACTGTTTTTCTTCTGTTGTATACCAGTAAGAAAGAGCCTGTCAGTTACTATTTGACACTTTGGGCTGAGAGCTGATTGGCTGAGTGAGGGTGGTCCTCTATATTTCACTTTTCAGTCAGGGAAAGCTCATCTAAATATGTTACAGAGACCAAAAATACATGCATATGAATATTAGTGATAGAACAAAACTGCTTTGAGAGCTTTTTTTTGGTTTGAAAGATAATTACCCCAGCTTTACATAACAGTATACACAGATTCAACATAAGCATTTACAGACCTTTGAGAACTATCCAGTCCAGCCATTAGGTAATAAAACACATTGAAAGTCGACTCTCCTTCTGGTCTTTTCGTCACTCTTGCTTTCTCCAGTAGCATGGTCTGAAGAAGCACTTCATAATTAGTTACATTCAAAATCACATCAAAATTGTATTCCTTAAAACAATTATTACCTGTATAGATGCAGACGTAACCTGTCCAGACTGGTCGAAATCCAATGAAATAATATGCGAAAATCGACTCGCATTCCCATTCAAACAAGTGGACGCATTTCCAAAGGCCTCCAAAACTGTGTACACCGCCTGCCATTTCTCTGCTACAGAAAAGAAAAAAATACTAGTTATGAGAGACGAGCAAGGGGACACAATTTAGTGAGCATTATTCATTGCGACATACAGGAGAAGCCTTTATTGGTACAACCAGCAATTGTAAAGAGGTACTGGATAATGTGCTGGCAGCTGGTGGTCTTGCCGCTGCCACTCTTTCCCAGTAAGACAATGGACTGGTCTTGGCGAGTCGTGAGGAGGTTTCGGTAGGCGGTCTGGGCCATGCTGTAGATATGAGGGGCTGCATCCTCTCTCCGGCAGCCTTTGAACATTTGCATCACCTGTAAAGAAAACACACAAGATAGATAGATAGATATAGTAGATACTTTATTGATCCCCAGTAGGAAATTCAGGTGTCCAGAAGCAGCAGAAACCCATCCATTCAAACAAAAAATACATAATTCTAAAAGTTGCTAACAATAGTGATAAAATGCAACAGCACTTTAGGTCACAGCAGCAGAGGTGGAAATATATATTCAGATAAGCAATAATGATCTATGATGGGGGAGTTGTATTACTAACTGTGATACATAAATGTCACAGGGAGACAGTGATAAAACATTGTATTTTTCTTCACAGTCACTGTAGTGAGAACACTAGTTTCCACAGGCAGTCAGAAAAGTAAAACAGTCGATTAGCTTTCATCCTAAAGTGTCTAAGATAAAGACAGCATGTTGTGGGCTGATTTGTTCACAATGTTTTACTTTCACAGGACTCTTTATGTTGGGACAAACAATATGTAATATTTATGGAGCAAAAATACAAAGGGGGCCTCAGCCTTAAGTAATTGTGTTCTAAAATTGGAAGTACAAGTAAAGTAGTATAATGTGAATTTTGAATAGTGGAAATACAAATAAAGTAGTCTTGTGTGTCTTGGAAAAAATATACTGTAAACATTGAGTTTTATCATGACAGCACTTCAAAATCATCAAAATACAATGTAATCAACCTTTAACCATTTAGTCCAATCTTCACTTTCTCAACAATTTTGGAATCCTAATTATTCCTTTCTATGACTTGAAAAGCCTTTTTCACCACTATCTAAGAGTTTACCGCAGTTTTGTCACATTGTCTGTTCACTTCTGGCTTCTAAGTGAATATCATGAGTCACTTTTAGAACATAGATTTATAGAATGGATACAAAAGTAATCATATAAAAGCGGCATCACACCAGGTATTTTCCATTAGTTGGCCGAAAAAAATGCTATGGAACAGTGCCCTTCACCTATACTTACTAATACTTGAAAATTAGTAATGACTGAAAGGGTCTCGCAGGCCGCAGGTTGACACCCCTGGATTTGACAGAGAGCTGCATACATTTATTGAGTGAATGTTTTGGACTTGTCAAGGAGTAATAACAGTGTGTTGTGATAGAGATTCATTTGAAAGCTCTCATGGCAACAAAATGTTTTTACCAAACCATGGCCCTCTCCATTACATTGAAGTACAAGCCGCTTCTGAATCCTGGATGCTTCACAGTGTGTCTCATAGAGGTCTATAATTGTTGAGTCCAATCCACTTTATTTAAATAAACACAGTTTCCAAAGTGCTGCACAATAGAAGTAGAATTAAAACAAACCCATAGTAACAGTAAAATCATTACAAAGAAATAAGATAAAACCATATATATACAGTAGATATACACATATACACACACACAAACACAGATGTGCATATACTGTATGTATACATATAAACAGTACAATAAAATAAAATAAAAAGACCATACAACTAATGCAGTTTTAAAAGCCAGAGTATAAAAATAGGTCAGAAGGAGCAGTTTGAGTATTCGAGGACAGAGCGTTCCAATTGTTGATTACTAATGCTTCACGACCACCGATATTAAGCAGTGGACAATGACATGATCACAGTGAATGTCATGCTGTCATTCCTATTAGATCTGAAGCACACACTTATGTCATGTCATTGCTTAGAAAACGTACCATTATGTACATTGAGTGCGGCTTACCTTCTCCGAGTACATGGACGGAGCACTAATGGGGTTAATGACCACCATGCTGGGTCCGGCGTGGGTGTGCACCAAGTTGGCCCCGTGGCGTTGGCGGAGAGAATGCATCACGCTTGACTCATTGAGATACTGCAGAGAGGCCAGGTCCTCCACGCGGTCGAACAGCGGAGGGTTTGCCTGTGGTTCAAAGTCACAGGGGTTACAGACTTGAGCAGGTGTCATCTGTAATTGATGAGGTTCGCAGGTTGATTTGATGATTAAATACCTTCTCTACATCATCTTCGTCCACATCCAATAAAGATCCATCACTCTCCAGGCGAATTTTCACCTTCCCTTCTGGCAGACTGCCTGCTTTTGTCTTCAGGAGAGTCGCTGAATTACCGCAAAAAGGCCAGAGATAATTTATCATGATGTGATCTTGACCCGAGTGCCAAAGCTTCATCACATCTTGCATATCTGCTAATGCCACGTAGCCGTAGCTCTTTTATTACTGTCTGGGCTTCATTAAATCAGTACAAGCTTTTTGAGATTAAAAACATGCATGGTTTTGTTAATTAGAGCTCGTACATCAACGTATAGCCTTGTATTTTAGCACAAAAACAAAATAGCTTACCCATTGAAAACCCATCCTTGTGGACCAGCCATACTCTTTCAGTGTTGTACCAAGCCTTCTCAGCTGTGATCTGATCCTCTGTCTTGCTCTGCTCAAAAAGGCAAAACAACAGATGCAGTTCTATCAGTTATCATCTATCATTCTAATTGTAATAAGATAGTGGATGGGAAGAGGAACATTATCAAATCAGCTACTCCATAATGGACTTTCACTGGTTTATTAAGCTGCCAAAAATGATTAAAATCATAATCAATTCAACAAGGTTAGGGGCATCTCCAACTTGTACACATGCTCTTTTAACGTACTGAATCATAATGGCAAAACAACTATGAAGACAAAAGTCACTCAAGGATTGACTACAACTACATGCAGCCACAAGGACCAAACCTTTGCTGCTGAGTGAGCTGCCTGAAGAATGGCCACGGGGTCCTGAACTGGTTTGGACTGGGAAAAATCAGAAGGAATACTAATCAGGGATGAAGTTTGTTTTTTGATATGAAACCGCAAAGCATTCAAGCAAGTAAAAGATCAGGCATAAGATCGTATGTATTGTTATCATACCGCATGCACTAATGCATAATTCAAAGGTTATTTCAAAATACACAGACAAAACAGGCCTTTTATTAAAACGTATGTTACAAATAAATATTAGCATAATTATAGTATAGAAATGTCTGACTTTAAATCTGTATTAACTGCACAGTATAGCTATGTATTAGCAACAACAACCACTGTATGATATAAATAAAACATATATATATATATTCATATTTGTAGAGTAGATTCTTCAGAATTGAGGCTAAAACTATCCAAATCTGCGTCCCTCCACATGCAGCCTGGATGTATTTCCCACTAGATTTTTCACTCCTGCATCCAACAGATCACCGAGTGAATGCAAAACAACTTTCTCCGGCTGAACTGAGACAAAACTCTCTCCCTAAAAACCTAATTTAAAGGATGGGAGAGAGACTGGACTTTTAACAGCCACATCAAATCAGATACAATGGCTCTCCCAACCAGCTGTAAAACAGCTGCGGTATATTAAAAATCCTCAAGTCCTGACTGGAACCAGGAAGTAGGACCACATTAGTCCAGTTCGCATGTACTGGCATCCTGTGGCTCAGAGAAGAAGAAACCAGCTCTGCTTGTGTCATTGTACATTTTACAAAAGTATGTGACATGTCTGTGACATGTTAGTGCCATTTGAACCAACAATGACTCTGTCAGAAGTAGTCAGTCAGAACTAAACATGGGTAGGCCACATTTCAGATTCATCCCTCTAAAATCTCTCTGAAAATGTGAGACAGGCTTCTGCTCCGACAATTTCAAAATCCGGGTTAAAGTTAGGTTATGTTTAGAAAGATTGCATCCACACTAGTTCTAATGCACTGTTATTAATGGGGAAACACTTTGAGTTGCCTTGCGTATGAACTGTGCTTCACAAATAAACTTCCCTATTGTAAATCAAAGAGAAGATCAAGGAAAGTGACGGGGCTCAGGTAAAAGAAGCACAAGCTGAGGTCAGTGAAGAGAAAAACATGCTTTAAAGTTCAAGACAGAGAAATGAAGGGAGTCAAGTCCACAGGCAGCCCAGGTCGTACCTGAGAGGATCTGCAGCCCCTGGCACGCTAGCCATGCAAACAACAAAGAGGCCAGCGGCAAGTCGGGATCCAGTGACCCACACAGAGGCCAGGCGCACAGGGACAGAGTTTGGGACAGGAAGATCAGAGCACAGAGAACAAATAATAAGACCAAGAAGAAAAGGCTGCCTAAAGGCTAACAACACAGCAGCAACTCGGCAGCAACTCAACTGGACACACAAAACATGAAAATAATATAAAGTAGTAACATGACGACAACAAGCCACAGGGCAATTAGGTGCAATGTTTTAGTGAAAAGAATAAAACATGCTTTTCAGAAACCAGGATCAGCCCCAAGTACAGATACTGCAAACCAATAATTAGGCATTCATTTTGTTGACAAACAAACAATTTGGGGTTCTCTTGTGATTGGAGCTCATTGAGAAATTGGAATGTCTTGAGGCAAATTTGGGAGCAGATTGTCACTGGTGATGCATGACAGATCACACACATTATGTAAGAGAGAAGTTACATTGTTGTTATTGGCAGCAAAGATCCTCATTACACGCTTGTGGTCTTCCTCTGTGGGAATCAGCTCTGGAACCTACAAATGTGTAGCCACATATATACACATGAAAAATTATTTTAAATAAAGGTGAGAAGCCAAAGGCAAACACACAAAAATGCACGAAAGGAGAAATGTTAGATGTACCTTCGGAGAGGATTGTTCATTCTGAGTCTGGGATAATGGATCATTGGATGAAGCCTCTTTTACCTTTTTTGTGACAAACACAAAAGTAAAGGCCAAAAATGAATTAGCATGAAATAATGAATTATGATGTTATCATAGGTTGACATTCACAACAAATCTGTGATTTTGGTGTTGGTTGCACTCATGCAGCACTCATATTCATATACAATTACAGTTTTCATGCGCTGTACTTACTCATGTACAAAAATAGTCACTTTAGGCTTCCTGTTTTTTTTAGACTAGATCTAATATTCTCAAAACCCCTGCATAGAAGATAGAAAGTTCACCCTGAAACTTGAACTGGATTTCATTTTCTAGCCCAGTTTAATAATACACCTCCACTTTTATATTCCTAACTTGTATCTATGATGATTTCTACCAGGTAGGTCAGCGGAGAAATTCTCATTTACTGTGATGACCTAGTATTGGAATGGTGCTAATGTGACTTGACGGTCATCAGTAATCAGCTCATTTCCTGAACTATATAATCGGTGTACGTGGATCCATTGCAGCAAGAGTCATATGATTGCAAGATACAACAAGCACTCATTCTCCCCTCACACCTATATACGTGCAATTCAAAAACATAATATTGAATTAAACCAGATACTGATGTGAGATTTGAACGCAGCAAGCACCACCTGGTGGTTAGGAAGCAGACATGCAGACAAAGTCAATACCTCTGGCCTCTTCACCATAGTGGCTTGAGACTTTGGCCGTGGTATGAACCCTGCAGGAGGGCTTAAAGGGTCAGGCTTAGGAGCCGGGAGAAAACCTGCGATCCGTGGTAACTGATTCTGTTTAGAAACTGGTTTATGAGCAGGGATGAAGCCCGCTGGAGGAGCCAGAGGGTCCAGTTTAGGAGGCGGGACAAAACCAGTCGGAGGAGCCAGAGGGTCTGGTTTGGGAGTAGGAATGAATCCTACAGGTGGGGCGAGAGGGTCTGCTTTAGGCTTAGGAGCAGGTATAAACCCGGGTGGAGGAGCTAACGGGTCAGGTTTTGGATTGGGAATAAACCCAGTTGTAGGAGTGAGTGGATTGGGCTTTGCTGATGTTGATGTTGTTGTGGAAGTGGTCTCCTCTTCCTTTTGTTCTTCCTGCTTAGCATCCAAGGTGCGAGTACGAATCCGGTGCTCCTTGGTTCGCCCCCTGCCCATTAAACTGGTCAGCCCCATGGAGATATCATCTTTGTCAGCAGTGGCAGCTGACTTGGCACCATCTGCAACCTCTTCTTGTTTTGGCTCTTCTGGTGCTGAGGGAACCACACGCCTCACCACTCTCCTCACCACCCTGATCACCTTCTTGTCCTTCTCCTCCCCTGGAGTATCCGGACCGCCCATGGCAGTGTTGCCGTTGCTCTGGTCAGGAGGCGATGCCGACTGTGGAGGTTTTTCTGCCTCTAGCACCGGCTTGGAGACTGCCTCAGGCTGACTATTATCCACATCAGACTGAATACACACAGAGCAGGAGGTTAGCAGTAACAATTGTGCCTGGAAGCAAATTGGTCGGTAACACTAAACACAGCAGCACTAACAGAATACAAATTTCTTATAATTTGGTGATTATTTTACTAAAAGTGAAGACATCTATGAGGAGAAAGCTCTTATGTGACCTAAGAATTACAAATGTGACTGCAAATGTCAAATGAATTCTTGTATCTTGTTTTACAAGCCTAACAATTACCCACTGAATCTCTGAGAAAATCCTAATGAATATTCCGACACAGAAAATACCACAAGATTATGTTCTTAAAAAATATGAATAATTGGGCTCACAAAATCTGTATGTATGTAGAACTTACATCTGACTGGTGTTCAATGTTGACCTATACAAAAGAAGCAACATACCAATCAAACAGACAGAAAAAAAAGAAAATTTACATGAAATACATTGTTACATAAACATCATGCGCTAAAGAGGGCCAACATTACAGAAAACACAAAACTTGTTTTTTGCTCCCAGAATGAAAAGCGTGATTTGTACACCATGGTAGCAGTCCAATGTCATGGAACAAGCTGTGTGGGGCGAAGCATACAGCGGCGGAAGAACAGTGACAGAAGACAAGATGAGAATGAACTTAAAGGTATCCAAGAGGATTTTTTACTTCCGGGTGGATCATCAACACTATTGGTCCTCCCAAATGTCAATCATTCTGTTTATACGTCCTTGTCCAATAAGAGCAGAGAGTTTTGTTCAAAAAGTAGAAAGGGCGGTTCTTTCCTAAAATATGGGAAAATCCTCCTTTATACCTTTAAGTTTGAAGCCATGGTGAATAATGAAGCCTTCATATCAGGTTATACAGCCCAGGTTACATGCAGACCAATGAACGCACACACAAGAATCAGTAAGCAATTAAGTATGGAAATTGGAATAATTGTTGCTAGAAAGATGATTTTGTTCATTAAAAAATCATACTTTATTTTAGTATCTCTTATACATAATGAAGTATTCAGTAAAATATATAATCTTTCCATTCCATGCCATTTTGTAAGATAAAATAATGGATAATAGATGACAGGCCCAATTAAAGCAATTGCTCTCAGTCTTTCATATCCTGATACATAAACAAAAAGGTTAAAACATCAATGCAACATGATAACTCTATAGCACATTTACGACAACACTAGCATCTGAAACCTACAAAAGCATCAACAAGATCCACTCAGTCTGGCCTCTCCTTCATCAGTCAAGCTCTATAAATAGTTTGAGCAAAGGCGGCCATTCGGAGTGACTTCAGAGCCCAAGTGGAACAGCCTAGCAGAGCATGCAGACTCCAAACTGCACCACACTCACGCAAACGCAGAGCAGTCCACCAGAGACCTGCACCTATTACCTCCTCTCAGCCCGGTGAAGCTCCCAGTCTCCACTTGGACCCTTGATTCTACAAAATGTACAGCGGGAACAGCCTGCTAGTGTGTGGGGTCAACCTCTGGGCGGGGTCCTGGAGCGCATGTCAAAACTGAGGACTGGGCAGTGGAGAGGTGTAATGTGATAGAAGAAGGACAGCAGCTGAAATACACAAGAGCTATAAATAGGGTTTGGGCAACTATGTCAATTATCGCTGGGACTCTCCCCTCTGCGAAGTGTTTTCCTCTGATGACAGAACACTCATCCAGGAAAAACATCTCATACAACTTCAGATGGGATGAAACTTGACTTATAACCTTGAGATGGAGCAAAGCTAAAAAACAATCTAGTTACAGAGTAATACAATCATGAATGTAAGGCCACCAGTCACTCTAACCAGCCATACATCATGTACAAGAGGGAATATTGACAAATACATAAATATCAATAAACTATGTAGGTGAAAAATTTGAACATTGTGAAAAGCTAGTTGTTTGTTCTCTTATACATTTCAGAGAGTGCCAAAAAAATACCCCAAACAAAAAAACTCAACAATTTAACTCTCTGAAATTGACTATTTTTTTTAATATATTAATATACATTATTTTAATATTTGGCCTGTTACACATTAAACATATCAACAAACAGTTACAATTTTGTTAAAAAGTTAAACAAAAAATATGGTGAAATATTTTCTTTTTTTTTCAGTTTCAGAAAATGCTACAACAACATTGAACTTTTTAAATTTTCAAGTTTTTCAAGTGTTATGCATTTTGTTTTAAGACAAGGGTGCACATACACGTTGAGCCCACAAAGGGGTGCTGTATGTGCTGCCTTGTGTTTTTGAATCAGGCTACAAAACAATATATTGACCATGATGTACAAATGCTTGTATTTCATAGCCTACAGTTTGACGAACTAACAAATATACACACGGGAAATAATGGTGAAATCCTGTTGCCTTCATACAGCTTAAATGTTAAAAAAGAAGGCTTCAGTTGAGTCCTACATTGGCACAGCATGACGCCAGCCAAACATAGCTGGTGCTTGCTAATCTCCTGAGTCAGTTACTAGGCCACAGCATTGTGCAGTTGCAGATGAAAGATTAAGAGATTTATATGACATAAACACCAATGCTACTACTACTGACCTCATGCAAAAACTCAACGTATACATATAATCTTATAGAAATGACTGAACCAGACTGATTCATTTTTTTTATGAATCATTTCATTTTGTTTCAAATTAAATCAAAACATGGTAGACGTTTTGTCTCATACGACAATGGGATGAGAATAGACTTCATTGTTACTGTCACAATGCATAGGGTTGAAGAACATACGTAATGATGCAGGTTGGATTTATTAGCTTGAGTTCATGGGGTCAGACTAGTTCACTGATCATTAAAGTTAATGCTACAATACAAAAAACTGCCGTAGAAAGGGCCCTGAAAAAGCAGATTTTTTCAGATATTATAGATTTCAACCACTTGATCTAGCCCACCAAACTACAACAATTTGCTGGAGTGCTTGATTCAGAAAATCTGCAGCATTAATTGTTAACTAATATGTGATTATTTGAAATTGCTTTTGTAACTACACTACAGTATAGAAATAAAAAATAATGTCACACCAACGAAAAAATCAGATCCTGGAGTCCTCATAAACATACGGAAGATTCTGATATCTTCAATCCACATCTTTTCAAAAAACAGCTATTAATAGTGCTGTTGGATCTAGGTCAGTCTCACAAGCACACTTTCTTCTCTTTTTTATCGCCTGTCACATTATGAACATTTTGATTGGTGGAAAGTAGGACGAAGTTGTCTCTTGTTGGGTCATTTAAACATTCTCTACTAATTTTGCAACAGCGATTCAAATTGACCTTGAAGAGGTGTCTTTTGTTGCCAGTTAGCTGCTTCTTGTGGTATTGTTGTCTTGATGCTACTCCCTAAATGTCTCGTCACAATACTAACATTTCAAAGTCAAAGACAAATTCAATAATACAACAGAAATAATTGTAAAATGCACTTGTCTAGCCATTAAGCTATAATGTTTAAAAAGATGAACATATACAACTCCTCAGGTCCAATTATATGATGTTTCTGTGAATAACTTTTATATACTATATAATATTTTGATATAATACTTATCTTTAGTCGCTACTAGTTTCATTATTGATCTGATTTCCAATACTTTTTACAGCCCTACTACTTGTTGCACTTCATAATCCAAATGAAAAGACATGAATGGGCTGACAGCCAAGTCTGCAAGCACCATATGGTCATGGATTGTAACGGTGTTTGGGCCGTTGTCTCCTTCAGCGTCCCTTTGTTTGGTGTCAAAGGAGCAAAGGGAGTGGAGGGGGATCATACACCCACCACAACATTCTCTTCTCTGAAACAGCAACACCAAGCTAGCAACACCAAGCTTATTACAAGTGATTCATGATTGGTGAAATTGGAGAAAAGCATGAAGAATGTAATTATGAAATATACTGTCATGTAAAAAAAAAAAAGTTTGTTTTTATAATCATCTACTTATATAATTATGTTTGTTATGTTACAAGGCTTGTTGTAGCTTGTAAATACATTTAAATTTGAAGTGGCAGGTAAGAAAAATGAGTAACTTCTGTTCATTCTCATATATTTGGATTCTCAGGCTTAAATTATTATGAAGTGAGTCTTGACTCATTTCCATGTGTCCAATATTTTATGAAAGTGGCCTTCATTCAACCAGGATAAGTCACACTGGAAGTTTAGAATCTTGTTTTTAGAGGAGTCCTGGCCCCAAACAGGGAGTAAGCCAGCCTTAATTTGTCCTACAGCTGAGCAATGTCAGTGTCGCTGCGCACACTAAAGGAAAATAGGATTTACTCCAAAAATTAAAATATATATACTGTAATAAATATGTATTCTATATATTGTATATATACAATGAATATGAAATAAATAGCAATAGTATTATTTAGAGAATAACACAAATTGTTGTTTGTGCTAACTTATCTATATGACACTACAATTACACTAAGTAATGTCCTTAACAATAAGTACACTATGCAATTTTCAGGGAACCGAAGCACCAGGAGGAAACCTACATGCAGTGAACATGCTACACTGAGAAAGGCCCTGTGCCACACAGATGTTGAAACACAGGACTTTCTTGCTGAGAGGCGAGAACCATTTCACCAGACAATAATTGAATATACCTGCAGAGATGGAAATGATCCTTAATATTTTCTTAATTCTTTGCAATCAGGATCACTTATGGGTAGATCAAATAATGTATGTGTAATATTTCTGTGTCGAATTTGAACTCAACTTACATCAAAGCTGTCTTTGTTCAGGACTTCTGTGCTCCTCATCCAAAGGCGGTTCAGCTCACTCAGCTCAATGATCGGCTGGACCTTGAGGTGGACCACGTCTCCAGACTGACGAATCATCTCTACGATCTCATCCCTGCACTTGTTCTCTACATTCATGCCATTGACCTCCAACAGCCTGTCCCCTGGAACCAAACCAAGTGCTCGCTCCTTGGTTCCAGCTCCAGGCTCTGCAAAGTGCACAATGCGTCGATAGACAGTTCCATCTGGCTGCCTTTCCAACACGGTGGACCGCCGTAAAGAAAAACCAAAATCACCAGTGGTCCGCCGCTGTAGTTCCAATTGCCTTATTTCTGGTTCAGGAGGAGGAATGAGATTGGGAAGTTGAAGGTCCACTCCTGGAAAGATCTTCTCTACCAGATCTGGAATGACAGCCTTTGTGGACTTCTGCTTGGATCCAGAGTTTGCTAGTTCCTCAAATTTAGCAGCTCTTTCTTTGACAGAGTGCTGTAGATGTTTTTGATTACTGAATTGAACATTTTCAGACCCACCTATATTCTCTATGTAGTGTGCTTGGTCGCTATCAGTTCCAAGGTCTGTGAGGTTAAGTTCAGTATTGCTCACAACTTTAATTGGAATAGGCCCTGAAATTTCCAACCTGGTTCTGGAGTCCCTCTTTGAACTTCCACGGTTTAAGTTGAAAAATCCCCTTCGTATACTCATCTCCTCCAGGCTCTTCAGCTCAGCTTGGGACATACGCTCTTTCTTGTCCTTTCTGTCTTTCTTTTCTTTCTTCTCCAATTCTTTTTCTTTGTCTTTCTTCATTAGATTAAACATGGTTGTAAAACGTTCACTTCTGAATCAGTGACTAAACAACATGCTTTCTTCCTGCATGGGCCTACGTGATATCTTCACTTTAACAACTCCAACAGCCTACCTGTAAGAAAAAAATGCAAACATTCATTGTATAGTTTATTTTGAACCAGTAAATGTCATTGTGATTTTCGATTGTGACAAGATTAATAAAGGTTTATCAGTTTGCAATGTTGGACCTTCTTTCTCTGAACTAAGAATAACATCAACATAAGTCATGCCAATTATTTCAATATTCACCTTACACTTCATAGAAATCAAGTTTCCTTCATAACAGAATAGGCTATTTAATGTAATTCACATACAAAGGACACTCAAGCACAATTAAATGTGTAATAACAAATCTTGTTTCTTAAACAAAATAGCAACTGCAACAAATGAACAGAATTTTTTATTCAAATTTACAGCATGTACTTTTTAAATGAATTACTAAAGAAGCATGGTCGTTGTTGCACTACAGACTACAGCTTGTGTGTAATGCTCTCTTTAATCTGCTTTGCCCTCATTTCCTCTCCCCTCAGGGACTGATTCTGCCAATGACACACTACAGCAATATTAAAATAAAATAATGTAAACAATAAAAAGGGCACGGCGAATAGCCTACCTGAATCTGGAAGCAAAGGGCGGTATCTTTTAAGTTTTCTTCATTCGTCCATGGGACAGGCAGGAGTGAAGAAATGTGGAAACTTGTGTTGCATTCATGACATAAACGTGAATTTCACGCTTTCAGAGTTACACTACCTGGAATAGAAGGGCAAAAAATGCCTTGCATAATATATGACATTCTGTGGTATTTAAAATAACATCCAACTGTTGCTATAAAGTAGTACCACAATTATTATCACATTTCTGATATTTTCTTGCAATGTTAAATGAATTAAAGTGACGATTCCTCCAGCATTTAAACACAGCGTAAGTGAACACACTGGACATTAGTGACATCTACTGTTTGTTTTCTGAATAACATTCAGATGCAACATTAGTACAGATATACAGTCAATGGTACAGATACATACATATTCTTTTTTGCACTTGAATCTTGGTTTATTTTTTTGAGTTGTGCTTGGCCTGTACTTTTTCTACACATGTCTACTTTTCTTGCCAATGCATTCGATCACCTGGGCACAAGCTTACTTCGGCCTTATCGTCATAAAATCTTATATAACAAGAAAGTGCGGCCTATAATTTGGGTGATAATGGCATGGATCTACTCTATGCTCTTCACTATAAGGGGGAGGCGCGTTGTATGGTGATGCACTTGTTATTACTAGAGCTTAGCGTGGTAACCTTTCCCTCTTTTTACTTTATTCTGGTTGCGTATTTGCAGACTATTGAGAAACCTCAGTAAATTTACAGTAACATGAACTGAGATACTTAAAATACAGATCAATGAAATAGCGAAGGCACACGCGATAACAGTTCGCTCCAAGAAATCTATTACGGACCTAGTCAAAAAGACACGATAGGGTTCTAAACAAAAATGTTAGCATATTGCTCTCAACCAACTCACACCCAACAACTGATTGTACCATCATCTTCACACATTCGTAACTAGTATCACTGTGACAGCAGTTCACTAAAACATGAACTATGGAATATATATTTTTCTAGAACAATGTGTGTGATGTGTCCCCCGCCATGTGTACGCTGTGGTTCAGTCCATGAGGTTACCGGAAGTGTTCCCAGCTGCCATGTTTGGTTGCTTTGTTGTAGGCTGCAGCTCGTACGAGGCTTCCCTACAGATTTAGTAAGTGTGGAAATGGAGCAGAGCTGGAGTACGTTTCTTTTCCAAGTAAGTTTATAGCTCGAGTACGACACTAATTTGTTGTGTAAAGCACCCGCTAACACGGCAGGGGCTTTATATCAGCGGGGTATGTTGTTATTTTACGTGCAAAGAGTGTTTAACCTGTGAAAACAATGGTAAATGAACCCAGACTTCCAGCTGTGAGGAGTGACGCGCGATAGAACAAAAACATGTTTTTTTTTCAATATATTTTTGGAAACACTCACTCGATTTAATGTAACCCTACTCTGAATTTGCTTGTTCATACGAGCGCGTTTCTACTCCGTGAACTTTGCCAAGCCAATAAAGAAAATATGTGAGTCCATTGAAAGTGCGGCTGTAGCCTCTGCACCGTTACAATCTGCACAGATCGACATGTTCCTCTTGACTTCGGCTGGTTTTGTGTTGGCGATTTATTCAGCGTAGCGTCCTTGCGTTGTATCACAAGGCATTTATGTATCCCACTGAATCACTGCGAACACAAAGGGGCTTTAGCTCATGCCAAAGTTTTGTACTGTTTCAATATTTAAGCTACAACTTTACATACTATTTACTATTGCTAGTAATATCAACTACATTATATATTTGACCCTCATGTTTACATTTAATATAAAGCCCTACTTTATAATGTATACATTTTTATTTCAGGTTACAAACGGCTTTTCACCATAGACTATGATTTCCACAAACTTGAGTCTACTAAAGCTGGTAACAGGCCCCTCCTGCTGCCCATGTGCGTGTATTTAGTTATTTTCCTCAATGTGACTATAAACGGATCTCTTTGGAGAAACTTCCAACATATTGTTTTTAATCTTCTACCCATGCAAGTGATGTTTCACCAAAGATCATCACATTTCACACCCTTATTATTAGTTATTTTCAAGTCTTACATTTTTGTTACAGGATGAATTAAATCAACCAACATTCATTCACAACATTTAAGATTTGATGAAAAAGACATGTTTTCAATGAAACCAGCAGATGGACAGTGGTTGTGCACCAACTGGCAAGGAGCCAGAGTCATGTATTGTGTACCTCACACTGTTTTTCATGAATTAATTCACATTTAGATTAAACCCCTTTTTTCATTTTTTTGGTTTATTTAAAGTTTGAGAATTCTCTCAAATATATTAGATTAAACTCATGGTTTACTTACAAATTAGCTGTTCGCATCAAAAACAATCCTTTTTCCATGTTGTGACATGAGAGGGCGTAGCTTCTCTTGGGTGACTTACATCTACATCCACCCTCAGCACCTTGTGCCTGTGTCTCCGTGCAGTGGATTTGAGTGGAAGCGATGTATTAACTTGAGTTTGTGAACTACAAACATTGTAAGTGAAGAATTCATCTTTTGCAGTGCAAGTTTAGACTAGGACGCCGGCGTCTACCAATTAATTGACAAAACTACAAAAGGCTTACTGCCCTGATTTACATAACAAGAGGTGGCATGTGTTGGATTAGGGCCTGGTTTCTGAATTGTTATCCCCTGCTCAAAGTTTGAGGCTTTATTAGAACTGGTTGTTTTTATTTTAAGTTGGAGATGAGGGCAATGTATTCTAGAATCTTCAGTACAAAGCTGATGATTTCTGAGCTCAACCGATATTGCTGTTATGAGAAGAAAACAAATCCATTTGAGAATGAAACTAAACTTTTTTTGATAGTGTTTATTTTTTTTACTATAGATTTTAATTTTGCCATAAGAATGTTGCTGTGTCTATAGTAAAGTGTAGCCTGTAGCTAGAAATTAGTTGAGAAATTAAGGCTGGATTTTTATCAATTTGACCAAGACAAAGTGATGGTGCTTGTCTCTTTATAGACAAGTTGTTTGATGAAAATACTTTTGAAACACATTCATTTTTTATTTAGTAATTACAGCTGCCTGAATCACAAAACCTTTGCTTATGCGGTTAATCTATTAACTTGACCCTACAGACGGCTTGTTTGCATCTGAAGGCTCTGACAAAATCTCAGCCATTGATAAGCAGCTTCTCTTATACTTGTTGTCCTGTCCACTTTTGTCTGTTGAATAATTGTTGCAATTTCAAGTATGAACCAAATGACTGTGGTTCATGAAGTTGATTATTCTGATTATATAGTGCACCCAGAGTAGACCCACTGTTCAGCCTCGTGTTTATGAGATGGCAGTCATACTTTTGTATGACACGTCACACACATGCTCACACCAGCCCGGCCCACAGGTTCTCACACAAATCAAAGCAAAGTAGGAAATTATTGTGACGTCTCGTGCTATCATCCTCAAGAAAGGTAGCATTTACTACAACTGAAACTACCGGTATTTAAATGTTTGGCCTTCGAAATCCACAAAAAACAAATTCCCCCAAAGGACTAAAATGTGGGATAAAATTACTCTAATTTCAGCAAATCCTGTACTCTACCAAACACCTTAAACCGCTATCTCCAGGTTAACGAGAAAGTTATGTGAGGGAGTAACGACTAATGTGCATAGAAGCCAACATTCTCCCAGACTCCGTCTAATGAATAGATGAGCTCAATCAATGAAGATGAGCAAACAAAAGATCCCCTGCTGAGCCCAGAGTGCATCACTGCTCAGATTTGTGTCGTGCACAATAGACAGGGTGACATTAGGAGGGCATGTGCTGGACATTGTTTTTATTCTGACCCATACCTCGGTTTCTTGTGCTCTCCTCCTGGCTTCTCGAATAGCTGATTACACTTGAAAAGATAATAAAGTGTATAAATTACATATAATGTATATATTGCATGTATTGAAAATGTAAATTATTAGTATAATGGCATACCGTAATAATATACAAAGTCAAAACATGATTTGAGTAAACTTTCAACACCGGTTTTAAATATGTGTGGACCGTGAAAACAGTTCTTGGTTTATTTATATTATTGTATGGTGAGCTTCTTGTTAATACCCTGTCCTAGTTTTGAAGCATATGATATGATGCAATGTTTTAGTGCTTATTAAGGCTCCTCAGGAGTGCATCTCGTCTGGCATGCTTGGGCAGTTGGCAGTCACACATGGTAAATCCGCACGCAGCGTCATGATGGGATCGGTTATCATCTGTGAGTTCTTCTTTTAACCCTTTAAGGATCATCTGATTTCGCCCGTTCCTTCTCAAATTATGATACCCAAATGGAAATGCTTATTGGGTGGACATCTTGTGTCTGATGTTGTGTATTTTACAGTTTGTTAGGAAGGACACAGTCTGCACTACACCTTCTCAAACATGAGTCAAAGTTAGTTTTTTTGTCTCAAAAAAAAAAAGGCAATTTCAAAAGGTTCTCCTGAAGACATACTTTATGGTATGTTGTTCAAACTCACCAGAGCAGATGTCTGTGGTGTTGGCAACAACTGTATGAAATTTTAGACCTTTAGGTGGAACCATTTTGATGCTGGGGGCTGCATGTCATGGTATAGCTGACATTAGCAGCCTCGTACTTGTTGTGCTCTTTTCATTTGCATTTATTGAATGGTCTATTTTCAGATCTACATTCAACCCCAATACATGTATAGAGTTGCTTATGAAATGTGTGTTTATGTTCTTTCAGCAGGCCAATGACGCTCTCCACCATCAGCACCAGGTGGCCCAGAACAACCTGCTGCCTCTTCTCAATGCAGGATCTGAACCAGTTGACCAAAAGCCTGTTCTTCCAATCCAAATGGAGCAGAAGCCTTCTTCTGGTGTAGCCGACAATGTGATGGGTGGCTTAGGAGCACGGCCCCTAGTCCCTGTCATAAAGAAGGAACACAAAGGAAAGACACCGTTTGTGTGCAACATCTGCCACAAGGCCTTCCGGGATAGCTACCACCTGCGGCGCCACGAGTCCAGTCACACAGGCATCAAGATGGTGTCACGGCCAAAGAAACTCCCAGACACGGCCCCCACGATGGTTCCCATGATCTCCAGCATGTCACGCGAGAACAACGGCACCCTGGCGTACATCTCCACAGCGGCAGGTATCCTTTCCCCCGCAACCTCCTCGGTCTCCTCCGGCAGTAGCATCATGACTCCCTCCTCCATGGGAAACATGCAGCAACAACAAAACGTAGTGAAGAAACCACCAAAGCCCGTGAAGAAGAACCACGGCTGTGAGATGTGCGGCAAAGCCTTCCGAGATGTCTATCACCTGAACCGTCACAAGTTGTCTCATTCGGACGAGAAGCCATTCGAGTGCCCCATTTGCCAACAGCGCTTCAAGAGAAAGGACCGTATGACCTACCACGTCCGCTCTCATGACGGCGGCGTGCACAAGCCCTACATCTGCTCAGTGTGTGGCAAAGGCTTCTCTCGGTGAGCTAAAAAACAGTTCTTTTGAATCATGCTTGTTTAGCTGAATATGTATTTTGTCTTTTTAATTTGTGTTATTTTATGATACTATAATTGTACTTTTCTACACAGACATGAGCCATTAGACATTTTTAGGTGGCAGAGGACAACGCTGTCCATGGGGGGAGGCGTCTCTTGTCACTTTGAGCTTCCCTCCAGTGGAATTTATTGAACTATGCACTAAAGGCCGAGACACACTCACTGGTCAAAGGACAAATATTTAGCATATACAGTGTTTTATTATAAACTTTCTGTGTGCATTAAAACAGAAATTTGCCTGCCTGCATAAAACAGAGTAGCCTTTACCAATGCAACATGTTTCAGTAGTTATAGGCTTGGGTCCAAATCGGTGACATCAGAGTATGCAGGAAAGTGAGAATCCAGACTGAAACAGGCCAGAGTCGTTCTCGGTCCAGCAGATCTGTCTGCCGCCCTGAGCAAAACTAGTCTCCTTCCTGTCTCAAACGTCTCACAATTCCAATTTTTTCGACACTAAACTAATTCCGCAAATGTATTAAAAAGAGCATATTGTAAATAATAATGTATGACGGTAAAGTTCCGAAGTTGGGTGGTTGAAGTCTTGATTTTTTAGTCAGCTACAATTGCTTTATATTATAATATAATGAAGGCTGGCCTTTTCTTTTTTGTTACTTATGAACATTACTCATTTAAGACAAAAATACTGAATATTTAATTATCCTTAAAGGTTTACAAGTAAACCCTACATCTCTAGTGCGCTTTTATGAAATGAGGTCAAATTGTTTTCCGCTACATTGGTCGAAGAGAATCAACCACCAATGACTGGTCATGAAGATGTCTCTGAAGTCTCTGTGCGCCATTTTCTTTTGGAATGAGTGACTAACCGAACTGCACCAACACCAATGATATGTAACTTATACATGTAAAATACCTTTACCTGAATGCGTACACCCACTCATTATCTATTTTAAAGATATTTTACAGATTTGTTTTCTTCCAGACCGGATCACTTAAGCTGCCATGTGAAACATGTGCATTCTTCAGAAAGGCCCTTCAAATGTCAAGTAACTGTAAGTAAGATTATTAGTTTTCATGTATTGTGTTTTCAAAATGTGGAAACTTTTAATCAACCAAGGCTTTTTTTCTTCAGGCCTGTACCTCTGCTTTTGCCACCAAAGACCGACTCCGCTCACACATGATCCGACATGAGGGCAAAGTCACCTGCACCATCTGTGGAAAGATGTTGAGTGCTGCTTATATTACCAGTCATTTGAAGACTCACGGACAGGCCAACTTTAATTCCTGTAATAAAGGTACAATCATCACCTCCAATGTATAGTTCTGTGTGTAATGGCTTTTTCCTTAAATGTCATAACCCAATTAAAGTGAGAGCGCTAACATTTTGCTTCATCATACATTTTTTGTCCCAACAGAAAGAGTTTTGTTTAAGTAACATCTTATTAGAAAACATTTTATCTTTTACTTACTGAAAGATGATTAGCTGAATGAGGGTTGGTGCTCTTTTTCATTCTGAAAGAAACGTATCTAAATATGTGACTTAGGCCAAAAATACATGCATCTGAAAACTAAGGATGGATCCCCAGTTTGGAGAGCTAGTAATGGACTTTATTACCTACTTATTACTTACTTGTGCAGTTTAATACAATAAAGTCATTTCACTGAATTGATTTTGTTTTGTCTTGTACAGAAGTCACTGAAGTCTGCAACTCTGCCTCATCCACTCCAGTTACCAGCGCCCCAATCAGCACAGTTATGAACAGGGGAAACTCCAACATCAACCACCCAATCACCATCGCGGCCCAAATGAACATTAGCACAAACACGGTGAACATCACCTCTCCCATGAGCCTTCAGCACCCACTCACCATCACCGGACCCGTCAACATCACCTCTGTCAACATTCCCACCTCCTCCCCCATGAACATTGCACACCCTGTCGCCATAACAACCCATGCAATGCCAATGAACATCACTGGTCCGCTCAACATCGCCATGAGGCCAATGGATAGCATGTCATTTCTGTCTCAAGTCTTGCCTTCCTCGACACACTGGTAAAGAAGTGATACAACAGACGATGATTTGCACCTCACAGAACCACTTTCCTCCATCAAACCCTGAACTGTGCAGCTAGTGTGGGCTTCCGGTAGCACAGGTGCCTGGCTTGAGATGCCGAAGTCTCAAGTCTATGTTGGAAGTCTGGAGAGGGGACTTGAGAGTAGAGTAGCAATGTACGTAGGAAGAAGTTACTGTGATTTGCGCCAGGACAAAAAAGGGCAGCATCTAGTTTTGAACATGAAGTCAGGGGAAACAAATGTAGCAATAACAAATGATGTTGTTTTATTGTTCTACATCTTGACTGTCAAAGCATTTGGAGGACATTTTATTCTTATTATTTTTTCAACTACATAGTCTGTCAAGTGCTTTTAAATGTTGAGCAGAAAAATCTAGGAAAGGGAGCAGCTTCCACTTTTATAGAGGCATATTTTTAATACAGTGCCGGTTTCTTTCCTCCGATAGGTACAGTACCTGGAATTAAACCTCTGCATTTGACTTATTTTCCAGTTATTCTAGTCTTTCAGATTAATATCCTTTCTTTAAACTAGCCTGACCAGCCAGACCCTCTTTCTGACACTGGCTGGTCACTTGTAACCACTGCAGAGTTGAATCTGCTGTGCTGATTTTGGTGTAATAATGGAGTTATGCACTGAAACACATCAAAGAGCAGTATTATCTAGATCAATCAAGAGTCCAAAAGTGTTTTGGTGAAATAACCAGCACTTGAATGCCCTCTTGTGGTTGGGAAGTAAAAAAATCTAGTCTTACTTATGGAACAGTCCACTGAATTAGTATTTTGGTGGTGTTTTTCCAATTAGCAATCTGATTATGGGGACTGTTGGAAAACCCTGTAATTATTATATTAAAAAAGAAAATACTTTGTTCTTAAATTTAGTTTAGAGGGGTTAGAAATCTGATATTTTCTATGTTTGCCACCAGAGACAACAGTCCAAATTCCTATTATGATCAAATGTATTATGGAAAACTTGCCATTTGGCTGTATCTATTGGCATAATTTTAGAACTGAGGTCCAAATGAATTGTGGCTAGTTAAAGTACATATACATTAAAGTAATTTGATGAGACTGAGGTTGCATGACCCGAACATTGTAGCTGTTGAACCAACATGTCTTTTATACTATGTTAACTTGACGGTGTTGTAGCTCTCGAGTTGAGGTTTTGAACTGAAAAATGCAATGCGCATGTATGATATATTTTCTCAGTTTCAAACAAAAAAATGTTAGCGTAGATATTTTTCTGTAAGATTGTTACGCATTTTGATTTTATCATGTTCCATCCCAATTGTACTTTTATAAACTAAGGAATCCCAATCAAATGTTAGGGCCCATTTGAAAGCTGTTGAATGTATATCTTGTTAAAGGGTGAAAACTCATTTAAGGTTATCAAGGTTACAATTTAAAAATGACCTTTTGTAATATTTTGTACTTGAATATTAACATCACACATTTTGTAAATATTAGGCAAGTCTTCCTGAATATCAAGAACAGAGAACATTCCAACATAAAAAGAAAAAAAACAGTATACATTTATTACATCGACTTGCGCAATGTTATGTGCCTTTTATTTGGGTTGTCTAAATAAACAAATGGTTTCCAACAAGCTCAAAGTGGTACTGATTTAAACTTCCTTGTAACAGTGGCAGTAATGTGCCCGAAATAATGGGACATGATCTTTCGCACGGTTTAGAATCATTTCCATAGTATTCTACTCTAAACTTGGCCAACAGATGGCGCCCTTTACAGCATGTTTCTAACGCACCATTGCTTTCAAGCATCACCTTCAAGGCCCAGTGCCGTAGTTGTAAAATAAGGAAGTGAGAGATGAGTTGTACAAATGAATTTGAGTATCATTATTATTTATACACATACATCGGGCCATATAAATTATATGTAATACAAAATAAGACCTCTTCTCAGATAGTGCTTTTAATATAAATGGTTTCTGTATTTATTTTTTGGAGGGTAAATTTGTCTTAAACTATGACTTGCACCTGTATTTGTTGCCAGACTGAGTTTCCATCCTGCCTCTTGCTGGAAACAACAAGTTAACTGTTTGTGGTGGAGCCTTTGGTGGAGCACTGGGATCGGCCTTATGCATTGTCCAACTTAAATCAGGGTGTTGGAGGAGATCCTTGTCACCGAAAAGGACGCAATCAGATTCCTCACAGTCTAATTTAATCTGTAAACTCCATGCGACGTGCTGTCGTCTTGGCGCTCCAATAGTACAACAGTTTTAACGGCTTAGGAAAGCTGGGAGGATCATGCTTTCCTCAGCTCAGCCACTCGTGCTTGTAAGCTGACAAGTGCCTGTCTGGGAATGGCTGTTTTCCTATCAAGCTTTCCTGTATTTTTACTCTAGTTATGTTTACTGTTCCATTATTGAACATAGAAAAAACTGGAAGTGTTGTCTTGACAAATGTAACACACCTCCAATAAGAAGCAAAACACAAGAGACAAAAGCAGGGGACTTCACAAGAGGTAAAATTGTCTTTCTTACTTTACAGACCTTTGACTCATCTCACTCTGATGATTATATGTGATCGATCAATAGCAGGATTGGGTTGGAGATGGATTTGTTTTATACTGTCAAATATGTCCTGTACGCATCATCTGGCTGCTGTCTTCTATATGGTGCATAACTTTGCTAATGACATTCATATGCCTCTTTCCACTGTGCTTTTATAATGTATTCAATATCTTTGGTTGCTAAGTCAAGTTTGTTGGCATATCACCATCAAATCTGTGCTGTTGATAGCAGAACCATGAGGGCTGTGAAAGAAGACAAAGTTGTGTACAAAGTGTCTGTGTTTGGGTGGGTTCATGTGGGTCCTCCAGTTTACCCCATCAACCCACAGCATGAATCATTTGAGTTCAAAAGTGCTTTGATTGTATCCAATAGGTTTACCTACTGAATTTTAAGTTATCTGGAAAATGTGTAATATGCATTGGCTTGGATGACTTTCATAAAAGATGTTCTGACGTCAAAGTCTTACCTGGTGCCCATTGCAACCTCAAGTGGTCTTTTAGAATGCTGAATTCCACAGCCTTAGTGCCGAGTATTGACTTGTAATAAATATATGTGATCAAAAGATTAGGAGACTGATTGCAGATGGAGCAAAGAAACAGCTAGGCAGCATGAAATGTGACTCAGTGTATTGTATAATCAGGGTATATTAAAGGAGAGAACATCACACCCTCATTGCACTGAGGAGAGGCTTCCGTCTGGCCACTCATAAAGGCCCGATTAGTGAAATTCTGCAGAAATGGCGCTCACATTTCCTCAGTGAAATGCAGAAGTTCTAGAGTGACTATAGGGTTCTTGGCATAACTTCTTGGTCACCGGATCAAAGCCCTTGTCCCCTCGTAGATCAGTTCAGCAGGGGGCCAGCTAAGAGCCCTGGTTCAAAAAATTGTACACATTTTACTATTTGAGCACTGTAGACAACAGCAAAGCATTTGTATTATTATTATTTTGAGTTGTTTTGGGTGCAGCTGTTGCATGTTTAGTTATAGCCGGGACAATATTTTACCTGGGGTATGATTTACATTTTAGCACACTTCACTTTGGGATTTAAAGCCGGGGAGCCACATCATCTTTTTAAAACTGTAATAGAATATAATAGTTTTAATCATCGTTCACTAGTTTTTTACAGTAGTTTTAATAGATTAAGTAATAAGCCTCTGTAACATCTTTGGATCTGCTTCTTCAGGCTGAACATATGCTATTCCTCTGTTAATAACTAATAATAATGACTTCAAGATCCATGCTTTTCTGACCGAAAAAGCTTAAAAGAAAGGGCCATCCTCACTTCGCCAATCAGCTCTTGCATAAATTGTCAAGTGACTCTCAAGGCTCTTTCTTACGAGCAAACATAAACATGCTTCTAATCAGATAAAAACTGCAGGATGTGGTTTAATTTGACCACACATTTTCTATTAAAAAACTTCAGATTTGAAGTCAAAGTTTACTTGCTTTTGACTCCTTACTTTTGATTGTATGTCTGCTTTATAGGCGCAAGCGATAAAAAATAAAAGAAAACAGCAAAAAATACAAAATACATATCTTTAGACTAAATTTACCTCCAATGAAGGAGCTGCTCTAATGTACAGAGGTAGATTATTATTCATATGTGGAGTGAAATTTGCCTCAGTATTATAGATGGAAGGTGCCCTAATCCACTCTCCTATGTCTTTGCTATTATTTGCCTACATTTTAAAATTATTAAGACTTCAGAATACTGCTACATATAGGATCTCTGATAGCCACGATCATGAAGGTTTATTTATCTATTTATTTATTTCCTCCTGCAGTAGTAGAGTGGCCGCGGAGGGGGTTGGGGGACAGGGTTTGTTATATATGCCGCCGTGGAGGAGCGCAGCTTGTATATGACTTCATTTCCCACAATGCACCGCGCCCCGTGATGTTCCCAACAGCTGACAGACGGTGAAAGCCTCTGCCAGAGCTGCTGAAGAGAGGAGCCTCTCTCGGTGCTGGCCCGCGGACTGGCAGAACCTGCGGGGGTAGAATACAGTCCAATTGGAGGTGTTTTAGGTGCTGGAGCCCTGGAAGCATCCATCGGCAATAGGAGACATCCATCCTGCGCCGTCACTTTCCGATCCGGAGGGCTGAGGACACATTGCCGTCAGCTAACTTCCACAGTCGGACGCTGCGACGCTGGGCTGCCGCTGCTGCATGTGTCTGATTTGAGCTCCAGTGTTTGACCCAAGCCCTTGAAGCCGTGTCCCAATGCTGAGGCATGCATAGTGCGTGTGCGAAAGGAGGGAAGATGGTCGAGAGTGATGAGCAACCAGCCCAACGGGGTAGAGGTGGTGGTGGTGGTGGCGCAGCGATGGCCGCACTACATCAATGCGAACTCATCCAGAATATGATTGATATCTCCATCTCCAGTTTGCAGGGACTACGGACCAAATGCGCCGCGTCCAACGACCTTACGCAGCAGGAAATACGCACTTTAGAGGTAAGGAGCTGGTAGATCCATGCGAGCCCTGGTGTTGTCACAGAAAGCCAAATTGCGGAGTCATGAAGCCCTATGCCTCTATGTCCGCCGCGCAGAGCTCAGTTTTGGCGAGCAAGGCATTCTTTGAGTCCTTCTGGGGCTCGGTGCACATGTAATTACCGCTCATAACATTTTCTTTATGGTTTAAAAAAAAAGAGAGAAAAGAAATAGAAAGAATCGTGACCCGGGCAATATCCCCAAGGCAGGTGTAATATGTGTGAGATATAAAAATAAATGAGATAGGCCCTCAAAACAACACTACATTTTATTTGCAGTCTACTCTTAGCTTCAGTGTTTATAGATTCGTTGTTACCATTCTTCGAGGGAATGGTCACTTCCTTATTTGTCAAGTATTGATGCTGCATGGTGTATCTATATTAGCTGTACTACTATCTATGTTATCTATGTAACTGTCTGTGCGTCTGAGATGTGGATTACTCCACAAATGTATCATTGCTTTGATGCTTTGATCCTGTTGTTTGTTTGACCTCTTTCTTTAGGTGGTTTTATTTGTCAACATCCTGATTCAAACACAGACAGCCGTCCTAGAAAAATATTCAGTAACAAGTAACATTCATGACCTCTTCTTCTGGTCAGTATTTTGTTTACTGGAAACACAATTGGGCTACGGCCAAGATACTATGAGCTATGTACCATGTGACCATCTCAGCAGAGAGCGTGAAGCATTGTGCCTCTAGATGCAGTGTAGCACTGAAGAAGCACTGCAATGTGCACAAGCTTGTGGCTTGATAGAACATTTAGATACAAGTATCTAATTATTACAGCTGTAATAATATGTATCTTTCATATCACTATAATGTAACTGCAGTTGCATGTAATCAGAAATTGTTTGTAATTGTCATTGTTTGTAAGCTACAAACAATGACAATTTTTTAGTTTACAGAATTAAATAGAATTATAGACTCCAAACTTGCCATATTTTTAGGGATACCACCTTTTAACAATGCAGCCATTGCCAACATTTCAAATACATTGCAATGTATGTAATATGATATCCCCAGGCGCCGTATAGCTTTTTCTCTGTTTTATTCAAAACTGCAGGACATCTGTTAAATTTGATCAAATTAATTGGTAGGCAAATCTATTTACAAGTACGTTAATGCAGAACATTAGAAGTAAGAAATGCCTCGATTACACATTATGTAGTTCTAGTTTATATTTTTACTTTATTTATTGCAATACATGCTGTGCAGAGTTTCAGAGTCAATCTAATAATGTGTGGCAACATTCAGTCTTCAGTTTAAAAGCATCGACCAGACATCTTACAGCTCCGATTATGAACCACAGTTTTTTGCCAAAGTGCCTTTCCCACACTGGTTGGGATGGATGCTAACTGATTGTTTGGCTCATGCTTTATTCAGACGTAGGAGCTCACATAAAAGAATATTCACCCTTGATTGGCCGAGGGCATCAATTATCTATGTGTGCATTATTTCGCTCAAACTCAACACCCCTGGTACAATTGTTCTCTTGGCCCTGAAAATGGCTCCAAAAAACTGGTGAGATCTGATTGCAGCGTACATTCAATGGTTTAAAGTGGCGCAACTGACCTTCAACACCGCTTTGTTGCTTTTTAAATAAATAGGATACCTTTTCTGAACATCTTATTTCTTCCATATCAGCACAACATTCAGTGTTAACATTTAGGGTTCTACTATTTTGCGGATCAATTTTATTCTATTCAAATTTGTACTATTGAGTGTTGTGCTTAATTTTCTGATTATTACAATACTTAAAGTTGGGCTACCTACCTTTTTGTTTCATAAATAATACATGTTGTATCCGCAGAAAGAGTCTTGTAAACGTAATATGTGAACAAATCAGACCACAAAATTATTCTTATTTTTATGAGAAAGCCTTGTATCTTTTGCATGCTTAAATAGATGTATAAGTTACTATTTGACACTGTTCTGAGCGCTGATTGGCTGAGTGAAGGTGGTCCACTAATATTTCACTTTTTTGTCTGAAAAAGCTGATCCAAGCCGATGTGACAGAGACCAAACACATGTGAAAACTAGCGACTATTTTGAGAGCGAGGATGAATTTCATGACTTTTTTGGGGTTTGAAAGAAAGGCCCTGCAGCTTTAACATAATTATGCTAAATGTAGTTTGCACAATTTCTCATTTGTATTATAGAGGCAAGGTATAAAGTAGTGGTAGAGCACATTTTTAGCACAAAGTAATTCCAAGTGTTTTTCACAGAACATAAGAAAAAATGCTTTAGTTTGAGGCTTGTAAGAGCTTGCAGTATGTGTGCTACACAAATACCCTTGGTTGTCTTTCTGCATCACAGGAAGTGTTCTGACAGAGTACTTCCTTCTTTACACTGTCTTCTATGCATTAGGCTTTGGTATTGTTTTGAATGACAATGGGCAGGATTGCGCTTTGCTGGAAAACCTAAAAAAAAATGTTACGTGGCCCTTTCCTGTGCTAGCACTTCATTTGGATTTAAAGTCGTAGCCCTGGTCTGGCTTATGTGGAGATGATGCTAATGTCTTTCATTTGGTTTGCACTTTCATGGTGGTCACATGCAAATCTAAATTCAGCAAAGTAACAATGGTATTTTCATTTTTGAGCGAGGCAATCGGGGGTGGGGGAAATTCCCAATAATAGTTTTGTTGATACATGCATTTTTTTTTATCTTTATTTTACATTCTTCCATTAACCCTGGCTATTTGATACAGTTTCTTTTTCAATAATAAAAACTTCATACATCCCAGTATTTCTTATACTATTAGCACAATAAATCAATATGTGATTTTTTCAAAACTAAACTTAAGGAATTTTAGCAAATAAAATAAACCAATACCAAAAACAAGTTACATATTAAGATAGCCCTATTATTTAGACTAGAATTTTAATATATATAAATGAAAAATGTTATATATCCAGGATAGTCAATTAAAAAGAGGGCAGCAGAATATAATCCGTACATCCACATCCACACACACTACAAGAGGAGGAGCGGGCCAGAGTGGCACATGGGTTTTGAGAATGTAAATCTGTGTATTATTTGAAGGTTTGAGAGAGTATTTAGTCTGCCTATATGTGCTTGTAAGCAGTGCTCTGTTGTCATCATCTTTAACCGCTCCAAATAAAACATTGCAATCATCCTCTGCACCTCCAAAACTAAAATGACTAGTGTTTGAGAGACGTTGTGTCTACAATCCTTTTGACACATGGACTGTCTTTACCAGAACTCTGTACTTTCATGTCATGAAGAAACTGCTGTGCACTTTCACGTCTTTCGTAAGATTTTTCTTGAGTTTTCATAAAGTCAGCACATTTGAGGGTTACTCACTCATGTTGAACAGTTTTGTTGGCAGCACTGAAACTCCAACATACTCTCATCGTTGAACAAAAAACAGCCTAAATGAAAATGTAAAAAGCCTACGCTAAACTAAAAGAGAAAGGTACTGTCAATTGCAGCAATCGTAGAGCGTAGACCTCAGCAAAGAAGCTCTATTGTAAGGATCCAGATCATATAACCAGATCATATACCTTTTTCCTTATTACTAGGAATGCACGATAGATCGGTTGCGCCGATAACCACAGCCGACGTGTATTGCTGGGTTGCAGCTGAAGTTCTCCGAGGGACAGGAAGTAAATCTCCCCATTAAGAACAATGTAAATATTCACTGATTCCGTCAAAATGCTCTTTTTCTGTGGCGTGTGCAGTTGTGGCAACTGCTCGCATCAAGTGGAGAACTTATGGAGTTTCTATTTTGCTAAAATGTATGTCTGGGTGTTGATTTTTAGGAAAATGCCTAAAAAGGAACAGAAGAAATGTGTTAGCATTAGCATTAGCCTGTGTAGCATCTGCGGCCACAAACACGGCTGACAGTCTCAGTTTTCACTTCGCTGACTTTCATAGATACAATGCAGTATTTTTTGTTGTAATAAACGAGGCAACAAATGACAAAATGACAATAAAGGGTCACATTTCTTGCCTCAAATGTTGTTAAAAGTAACATTTGTGCCCTTTTTATTGTATTATTGATCAGAACTGTCATCTTGGACATGGTTCTGTTGATCCCAGAGGGACTCCACTGTCGTCACTATAACAGCCGCTTAATCTTCCTCATTGTTGAAAAAATTGGACTCATTCAGACTTTACAAGGCGTACTCTGCATTGAAAATGGTTTTCCTCTCAGAATAAGATCGATTCTAAGCCACGAAAAGCTCCTATGTGTGAGTTTTCCCACATCGTCCATTCTAACTATAAGTAGGGCTGGGCGATATGGCTGAAAACTATATCACGATATAAGTCATTCATATCGGTCGATAACGATATATATTGAGTTGTTTTTTTTTACCTAAATAAATATATTTGTCGTGTGGGCTAACCAACCTTAGCAGCCTTGTTTACAGTCACGGGGCGATGAGGCTGGAGGAATATGTTCACACTGTGTCCCTCGTTGTTAGTCCTGGTTTAATCCTGGTTTTTTATTCCTGGTTTAGCTCCTGGTTTAGCTGTTTGAGGGTCTTGTGTCCCCGTGACCGCTCCGTGCGGCTCTGTGCCGCACATGCTTCCCGTGGAAAAAGTTAATCTCTTGCTTTTGCCGAATACATCGAGTCTGTCCACTGCCTCTGCCGCCGCACATGTTATTCCGCGCACGTACGTGCATAACCATTGACACGGCATTGAAACACGAGCTATAGATCCATGGACGCTACGCATGGTGCGGTTGTTGGTGTTTTTGCATTTCCCACAAAGTTTTGCGGTTCCTGCTCGGCTGTTATTGGTCGAGAAGCCTCTGCCTACATCCCCCACAATGCCATGCGCTTATGAGTCGGCTTTACTTCCGGTATTTTCTTCCTGTTTTTCCTGACGGAGTTAAGTTAAACTATCGACCCCATTCTCTATTGATATCGAACACATGTCTATCACACATGTTTATCGTTTTATCGCCCAGCCCTAACTATAAGATAAAATCAT